TAGGATTAAACCAAAGAGAACTACGAGCTGCAGCTCTCGAGGTATGTCGTTTGTCATATATACTCTACTTTTCATGAAAGGGATCACGATTTTGCAATGCAATTTGCTATTCAGACAAATTAATGTACCTGGATGCTTATTTTCTGTCGTATCATGCAGGAGGCCGTAAGTCCCCATGATCTCCTGTAAGATGGTCTAGCTTTAGTTGCTGGTGGTCTATAGCCTTGTTATAAGCTATGCTACATAATGTTTTGAAACGTTATCCGTTTTTAATATTGATATTGTTGGTTTTACGTACAACTGTGATACTTATCTTTCTGTTTTATTGTCCTTTGATGACATGTGTTTAATTATAAATAACTTGTTCACATCGCGATATGGCTGCAATATTGCCGAGGCGATGTAACATTTTAACTCACTATTTTTCTGACGTAGGTGCCACTTTAGATAGCTGACCGTCTTTTGGTGGTTTCTTACACATGGAATTTCAGGCATTTAAGGGACTTTCTTTTCATTCTTAAGATGAAAGAAATTTTGCTTTTTCTATCTTCTATTCTGAAAGATTAATAAACCAGGAACAGGTACTATACCTGTATTTATTTAGTGCGAGGTTGTCCTTTTTAAACGAAGACGTCAAAGGCGCTTCAAGACGTGCACCAGAAATACTGCCATGTAAATAAATAATTTGGCACCCATTGGTCAGAACACACATTAGTTTTTAATGTGGAACCAGACCGTGACTCGCTTTGTTGCTTAATTTCTTTACAAAGCAGAACAAGGTGCCGTTGTACAAACAAACCTTAGCGCTAAGCGGTCGTAAGTCTAAGTTAAGTTACGATCACTTCAACATTAAGATCGCTTTGTACAACGGCACCCTGCCGGTTGTCAGTGTTACGTTGAGGTATCAACGACGACTGACGTCAAATCGTATGTAGTTATAATCTACTTCCAATAAAAGACAAATTTATATTCATGTCATGATGTTTTCCCCATTACCTACCCGGGTGCCGTTGTACAAAACGATTTAAGCGCTAAGGCGACCGTAACTCCCATACCTTAACATAGAGGTAAGGTAGTCTTAGCGCTAAGGTTGTATTGTACAACAGAAACTAAGCTACAGAAAGTACACCACATTAACTCGCGAACAATTTGCCTGGACTTTGAAGTTCCCGTCTGTTTCATTGCTGGATGTAGTTGCATTAACCTGAAGTACACTCAGATTATATTCAGTTCACGCTTTGCCATTACTAAATATTATTGCTTGTTTCAGTTTCTACCGTTTGTAAAGAGGCATGAAATAAACGGGAGGCTTACGTTCACACACGCAGTCATCGATCTGGTCGACCATTTGAAAAGTGTTTTAAATTTTACGTATGTTTCATTTTATATCTCTTCATTTCTAACCGCAAAGAAAATGTTGAAAATCTCATCCAGTGTCATGGTAAAGGCTCAGTTGTAATTGGGTTGCATTAAACCGCGATAATCTTCTATGACTTTTCAAGAGCGTATTTTACGTTAGTTATATAAGACAATTTCATCAATGAGAATGCAAAATATTACATATCCATCTCGTCCATATCTTCAAAAACAAGAGCAAATGCAATATTTATTCTTTTTGATAAAAGACGTTTTAATCTTAATCTAGATTTACTGTATACCTGTACAGATATTCACCCAGAGGGATCCACTTTCTACAACAAACCAGGTTTATATTGCGAAAATGGCATAATTCTTTCCCAATATAGTTTATTAGATGTCTTATAAACATGTCAGATGTACATATTTTGTGCAGAGGAGATTGCAATGCTCGTACAGGGTACAGAGGCCAATTTCATTGAGGGTGATATCATCAAACATACAGAAGGGCAAGACCTCTCAGTGTAGGATTTCTTATTAGATATTTTTAGCACAAAAAAAATTCAACTGACGAAATTGTAAATGCGTATTGCAAGGGCTTATTGGGCCTATGCGCAGTTCTCAACATTCATATAATGAATTGGACGATGTGGATCCGATTCAGAAATAGGCGACCCTTCATTTATTGGTCATAACGGAACAAGTGTAGTAGATTATATAATAAGTTCAACATCGATTTTTGATAGTGTGCTTGACTTTGAAATCCCTTCCAGCACAGCATCCGACCACCTTCCTCTTACTATGAAGATACATGTACGTGCGCTTCACACGCAACATACCACAACTGGGAAACAGTGGTATCGATTTGTTTGGGATAATGATAAACTTGACCTATTGAGACAAAATATGTTCTTAGAAAGTATTTAAAAGTTACTAAGCGAGTCAGCAGATTTTGTATTTACAAACATTGATAGAAGCATAGATCTTATTGTACAAGCACTTTGTACAGCTGCCTCAGATATAAAAAAATCTGGTAAGAGAAGAAACAGAGCTCAATCTTAGTATTATGCAGAGTGTGATAAACTGAAAAAAGAAAGATGCAAATTTTTAGATAAGTTTCGTAAATCTAAGGATGCTCGGTCTTAAGAGGATTACCATCGCATTAGAAGTAAGTATAATGCAGTTTGTAAACAAAAACGAAGTGAATATTTGAAATTGAAACAACAACAATTAGAAAATAGTGTTGACAATTCTAAACAGTTTTGGTCTTCTCTGAAAGATATCAATGGGAAAGCAAGACAAACAAATGGCACTGAGATCAACTTATGGTATTCTTATTTTAAAGAATTGTTTTTCAACATCTGAAATCAATGATGCCATGGATAACCATACATCCAGCCAGGGCGATGAGAATAATTATCAAAGATGTGATATAGATAACTCAATGACAAATGAAATGCTTGACGCTCCAATAACTCGAGAAGAAATCCCACTTGAAACTGAACAAATCACCCGGAATAGATGATACTATCTCAGAATCTTTCTTACACTCATCAGATATTTTACTCTCATATCTTGAATTATTGTTTAATGTCATTCTTGAGAATGTATTTATTCCACATTCATGTCGGTTGGTATCATTGTACCTATTCATAAGCATTGTGGTAAACATCAAACTGAAAATTATAGAGCCATTACTCTTCTAAGTGTATTTGGTAAAATATCCACTGCCATTATAAATAAACGTTCAGTAGTCTGGGCAGAATCCTTTGATAAGATAACCGAATTCCAAGCTGGTTTTAGGAAAAGGATATACTACTGACAACATATTTGTTTTATATTCACTTATATAGAATTACTTAAAAAGAAAAGCGCCAAATTGTATGTTCTCTTTGTAGATTTTGCACAGGCTTTCGACTCTGTTCACAGAGAAAGGTTATGGAATCCTCTTGATGATCATTCCTTAAGCAGTAAATTGAGTAAACTTTTAAGAGGTAGTTATGATGACGTAAAGATGTGTGTGAGAAACAATAATGAAATATCCGAAACTTTTGAGAGCCAAATAGGATTAAGACATGGTTGTATATTGAGCCAATTTTTTTTCTTTCTTTATCAATGAACTAGCCACACAGATTCATGAAAGGTGTTAAAATGGTATTCAGTTACATCCAGATATAGAACAGCAATTTCTTCTATTATTTGCTGATGATATCATTCTTTTCTCTAGCACTATTCGCGGACTACAAGCAGAAATATAGTGCCATATAGCTGGAATATTGCGGAGTGCAGCGTTTATCAACAAACAAACCAAATCAATCATTGTTTGAGCGCCATTTTCGGTTCTTGCTTTGGTCCAGTTGTGTACACGTAGTTTTGATATACCCACAACACTGACCAAAACGTGAAACAAAATTACCGCACAATTTCACCAGTAGGGTGTTTTTCTCTTTTCAGGTATTGCTTCACTGAACCAGCTGACGGAGAATGGGGTCTTCCGGTTTCCGGAGATCTCAGCAATTACACAGGAATGATTGGCATGCTGCAGAGGGGGGTATGCAATTTAATGTTATGAAGCAAAGGGTTTGTCTACGATAACTAATACATACTACAACTGCAATTCATAACAGGGGCCAGTATTTAACGCTGTGGGCTGGTTTGTCGATTATGCCACATAGAGTTATACTATCAATGTCATACCTTTATATGCTTCGTGGGAGGTGGGGGGGCAGCTTAGTTAAAGCGATTGCTCGTCACGCCGAAGATCCGGGTTCGATTCCTCACATGGGTACAATGTGTGAAGCCCATTCCTGGTGTCCCCCGCCGTGATAAAACTAAACTCACTCATTCACCATTACATGTTTCGACGGCTGAGTCAGCAAAAGTTGGTGTAAGAACTGGTTATTATCATCACAAAGTACCAAATGGAACCGATTTTATGACAGGCGTACTTTACGCTTTCCGAAACAACCTGGCATGAGGTCGTACCCATTCAGCTTAAACCAAATTGTCCATGGATAATGTGCAGATTTAGCCTGTTTGTAAACAGGTTTTATGTTATCGCTATGAATCACTGAATTAGGGTTGCAGCACAAAGCGAGGGTCGGCGTCATCAGTTTTGAGCGAGTATGCTTGTCGTAAGAGGCGACTAACAGGATCAGGTGTTCAGGCTCGCTGACTTGGTTGATATATGTCATTGCATCGCAATTGCGTAGATCGATGCTCATGCTGTTGTTGACTGGAGTATCTGGTCCAGACTCAATTATTTACAGACCATCGCCATATAGCTGGAATATTGTTCAGTGCGGGGTAAAACTAAACTCACTCACTGAGAGGAGTCTGAAGTCATCGAAGCCTTAAAGTTAACCTATTGTTATTCTGCTGACATATTAGTGAGTATAGCAATATTCCAGCTATATGGCGGCGGTCTGTAAATAATCGAGCCTGGACCAGATACTCCAGTCATCAACAGCATGAGCATCGATCTGCGCAATTAGGAACCGATATTAAGAAACATGAGGACGAATGCTGCATTCGAACCCGAGAGGTTTTTGAAACTCCTAAAATATAATATGTTATCCCCAGACGACCTATATTATAATTTAAACACGGAGAGATAGGTGTTAAATACTAGGAAGCTATGTAACATGAGAAAGACTCAGGTGAGTCAGAAAGATTTTAAGCCGCTTCTGGAATTGTAAACCAAAATGACTGCAGAAGACACCAGAAATGAGCTGCACATATTGCCCCCGTGTAGGAAAACGAACTACCCTAACAACCCATTAAACAGTTAATACGAGGTAAGACTGAACGAAAACATTCTTCACGTCACAGCTTACAAAGAAGATCAAACAAACCTTAATTGATGTGTTATTTTAGCGATTGTGTCTGAAGGCATAAATAACACATGGGTTATTTGTGACGGTTATTGTTGTCTTATTACAGGAAATAGACTTCATTGCTGCTCCAGTGGGCTACACGTGGGAACGGGATCAGGTAGCCGACTTCCTGCCAGCTATCCACGAGTCCTACAACGGGATGATTTTCAGGGATACTCGGGGCAGTTCCAAGTTGTTAAGTGCCCTGGCCGATCCATTCCGCTGGCAGGTGTATGCTGTGGGAGGGGCGACTCTACTGGGTGTTATCCTGCTTTACCTCGCAATAGAATGGAATAATCCATTCTACCAAGAAGCAACATCTGAAGCGAAACGGTTGAAGCCAACAGGTGTTCTTGACACAGTGATGTATCTTTTTGGCTCCACAGTTCATCAGGGTAGGTTTGGGGTACTTGTCGCGTGAAGTTTGTTTAAACCTGTTTGATTGGCATTTTAGAAGTTGATAAATAGTAAGAAAAGTATAATACTTTATGAATAACAACTTCTTTATTTTGATAATATGATGCGACGTTTCGGTATAGCTTCTAATACCGTTGTCAAGCAAGAGTAAAATGATAGAGCACAAAACCGACTTATATTCATGTAACAGGGATTAAGTAAGGCAACTTGCGGGAATGCATCAAAGGGATTACCAACAATAACAACAACAACAACAATGGAATAGGTAATAATGCAGTATCAATAGGAAGAAGCCAACTGTTGAGGAGGCAGAACAAGATGTGCATCGCAGATGAGATTAAGTAGCAATGATGCCTGGAGTGCTCTGTTCTATTGTTTTTATCAGTTCATTGTAGGCGGATGGAATGAGGTATCCTTGGTTGATTGAGGGCTTATGTCGGCGGATTTGAACTGCTTCTGCCACTTTTCTTTTGGTGAAGTCCTGGAGGTTTTTTTGTTAATATTCAGCATTATCCCATTTGATGTTGTGATTAGGACAGCAAACCGAAACACGAGTCTCATTAACCAATTCAGACAATGACCTACTTTTCAGCCGATACGAATTTTCTCGTGTGAAAGTGAAAATATACACTTCAAACAACTATGGTTACACTAAATTCTAATTCCTTGTTTTATACGAAAATAGTATTTACAAATGAATTTCAATTTTAAACTTTTATAACATCGTGTTTCTACATTTTACAGCATGACCTAAGGCGTCACAGACTGCCCCTGTTTGATGAGGTTGTAAACTGATTCACAGTTCATCTTGCTCACTGGTTACACCTGTTATGTGTTTTTTGCGCTTATTTAATGTATTTTTGTAACGTACAATGTGGTTGATATAATATCAAGTCCGTACTAGACCGCCAAACCTTTCTAACGGTCGAGCCTCGTTTTGAGATTTCCATGATATCCTAATTTCCGTTTCTCAGAGCAGGCTGTACGACAGAGCACGCTGCACGACGTGTTTGCAAGGATTAGAAGGAGCGTAGTGTTGTAGTATACAAGTGTTTAGATGTATCAAATAATACTGATTAATATTTATATATCCAGTTGAATGAATTGGCCTAAAAATTCTGGACTGGTTATTGTACTAAGTTGCGCAAGAGGACGGAACACAGTCAGCAGGAAACGAGACTGTTGTGTAATCAATGTTTTGACTTGTGCTTATGTGTTCTGAGATAGCTGATTTACGGTCTGTTTTTGGTTGATGCTAAGTGTTCTTTGATTCTGAGGTATTATACTTTACTTATGCGTACTCCGGTGACTGACATCATGAGCATCGTGTCGTAAAAAGTGGGTGAGTTAGCAACAGCGTTTTGAACAGGTATTCAGTCCAAAATGACACAGGTCGTAATATCTTCCCGGACAAGGGAGAATATCAACAATCTGTGAATAAAAACAACAACAAAGAAATGTGATGTATTTAACAATTGTATACTAAGGTTAACTATGTTCACAAATCAATACAAAGGTATCACTTTGGCAGAGCAAACGAAGAAGATGGTACAATACAGAATCATCCTAATACAAGTGAAGTGATTATAGCAATTTCAGACAATGATGGTACTTCTCACCTCGCAGCAATAGTAATCCGACTTCTCACTATAGTCCAATGCAGGGTATATGTTCATCACACACACTGCTGGTCTTTTCGTACGTAGTGTAAACATATTTCATTCAAAAAGAATGACTTTCTTTAGATCTGAATTGTAATTGTCTAAAGATATTCTCTGTAATCTATTGTCAAGATAACTGGAAAACCAATCAAGTAACTTACCCTTAATACCATAAGCTTCTAATTTCACTATGATTCCCTTATGCCAAACCTTGTCAAATGCCTTGCTTATGTCACAGAAAACTGCCCCGACTTCTTTGCCATGGTCTAATGCACGTAGTATAAAATCATACAAGTATGTCAGTTGATATACAGTACCATCTCCAGGCATGAATCCTGACTGCAAGTTGGTCAATACGTTATTATCTAGAAAAAAGTTAAACACATGTTTAAAAACACCTTTTTCAAATACCTTTGATAAGCAGCTGGTAAGAGCTATTGGTCTGTAGTTTTTACATTCATTAAAACTACCTTTTTAGGAATGACAGTAGCTTCCTTCAATTTTTTTGGAAATTTACAATATTCTAATGATAAATTGAATAGATTAGTAAGAGGAATAAAAAGGGATGGCATTATCATTTTGATAAATCTGTTACCTATTTTGTCTGGTCCACTGGCTTTGCGTAGTCAATACAATAGACTCAAGTGAAGTCTCTACTTTACATTCAAGTGTAGGAGTCTCCTTATCAGGATAATCAACTTGTGCATGATCAACTAAATATTCATTAAATATATTTGCTTTTTCTTTCCACCATTGATCAAATTACCGTTATGAATAATCGAAGAAAAATTCTTATAATCTCCATTTTTGGATTTTATATACTTGTTCACTAAAGCCTACCAAAATGTATAATTACTCCCCTGATTGATCTTATCATCTAAATCAGAAATATATTTCATTTTGGCTACTCTCACAGCTGCCGTTACTTTGTACCGTAGAGGTCTAAACCTTTGCCAATCTATATCATAATTTCGAGTCTTTGCTTTCTTATGCTGTTTATTTCTTATAGCACTATTTCGTACGTGATGTGTGATCAGAGGCAATAGCTAGATCCTATTATATACGTCTCTCAGGCAGATATCTCTGGAATAATGGCCTTGAAGACTTTTCCAGATCATTCTATAATATTCTGTTCGCCAGAAAACAGCGGAAACCTCTAGAACTCTGTCTAAATATAGCGCAAGTCTAAATACAACAGACCGCTGCCCCTTAATAAATCTATAGGTACAATGTATAACAGTTGAGACTCTGTGTACAACCCTACAAAAGTCCATTTTCCACCCTTGATGAACTTGATATGCGCAATGATGTTTTGGCTGGACAAGCTAGTCTATGCATTGTCCAATCAAAATCTACATTGATATCAATACAAGACATCTACTTTGGAAAATAGTATGTACAGTCTCAACAGATATTTGAAAACTAAACTATGTTGTAGAGATTTTGATATGAGAGGATGCGAGATTCAGCGGTGCCAAGGAATCTCCTTCAACTGCAATAGTCGAGTTACAGGTTTGATTACACACTGTCATTTAGAAAGTGGTCAAATGTAACAAATGTTATATTTGGGATTACACTTTCTTAGTAAAGTACAGATTCTAGCACTTTTGTTGGGTTGAGTCCCATCCGGGATTCGAACCAACACCTTCAGAGTCAGGCACCTAATCGCCAGCACACAAAATCAGCCGTCTAACCCACTCAGCCATCGCCTCAGCCTTCCACTAACAAAAGTACAAGAATCTGTACTAAGAAAGTGTAATCCAAAATATAACATATGTTAAAAGTTTTGGTGGGGTGAGTCATAACACAAAGGAATTCATGCTCTAGAACACACAGGCTAACAACAATCTCCAGTCTGACATCAGACTTTCCGTCGAGGGTTTGATAACGCTTAAAAGATGACGAGAACTGACCCAAACCCAAACTGATGATAAGGAGTCATTTTTCTTGGTTTAATGATGGGGCAGCCTACATCGCCTTTGTGATATCGCACGTTGCCTACCTTGATGAGATGCATATCGACTGTGATCGACAGTGGGTGTATTCGAGAGATAGTTTCTGCGACAGTGGCCCTACCTGGTATAACATCAAGCCCATCGGGAAGAACACACTAGCTACCTTCATGTCCACTCGCATCATTCTTTGACCATTTAGTGCTCTCGGTTTCCTAAATAAACTTTCCTCTTAGTAGTTATCCATCTGAGAAGGATAGGTTCGTAGTATGCCATACTTGCCATTGGAGCCATTACCTATGAGCTTCTGGAGCAGAAGCTCGATGGTGAGCTGAGTGTGTTGGCGTGGGCCGTTGCTTATGAAGTCTCAGGATTGTAGAGGGACGCCGATATATAACACCAGTGAGTCGTCTGTGGTGGGTAGTTGGATGTTGTGTTTATTCACACACAATGTACGTATTACAGATGCAAAGTGGCAGATGACTCTCCTCCTGAAAGCTTGCGGTATCTGAAGCCATATTTGTTTAATTCATGATCCATGATCAATGATAATAGGGTGATGCGTTTCTAATGGATTTCAGTATTTATTTCAATCTTCCAGGAGGCGTCCATCTTCCTGAATCCAGTTCTGGACGGATCCTGATCAGCTTCTGGTGGATGTACATCATAGTGATGACGGCAGCCTACAGTGGCAATCTAATTGCAGCGCTCACGGTCACAAGAAAAACAACTGCATTTACAAGTTTTGATGACCTGTTCGAAGTTGCAAACTTGAAGATCGGTATAATGGGAGGAACAGTCCTACACGAGACTATCGAGGTGAGAGGGGAAAAGCGTTCAAGATGCACTGTAGTGCAACTGAGGAACAATTGTTTTCAACTTAAGTTAAGGAAATTCTTCAAAGGCATTTAGAAGTTGGTGTAGTAATACAAGACAAATCTTATGGATAACAACTTCTTGATTTATTTTTCACAACATTTCCGGGCTAGTTCTTGCCCCTTGGCCAGGTAGATTATTTTTCTTGATTATTTTCGCAACGTTTCTGGGCTAGTTCTTGCCCTTGGTCAGGCGGATCATCCACCTGACCAAGGGCAAGAACTAGCCCAGAAACGTTGTGAAAAATAAATCAAGAAGTTGTCATCCATAAGATATATCTTGTATTAATTTAAGGAAACTATTATATTTTCAAATATATTAAAGTTGATAAGCGAATAGCATCCGTTAAAGGAAATAGTTAATAGATTTGAGGAAGGCGTAAAGAATGACACAGAGGAGGAGGGAGGGGGAGATAGTCCTCAATTCTACCATGAATCAAGAAAATACTAGATTCTGATTGGTTGTTCAGAAAAATCAGACGGCATCAATTATGGATTGACGCTCATCTGATTGTAAGGCCGCTTCACCGCGCATTGACAAATCTTATTGTGAGAACTACTTCCGTTTGACCACAATGATGGCGGATCATAACAACAACTCCATGGATTTTGACGCTGACTTTCGAATATTCCACATAGGCAATTGGACATTTTTGGATTAAAAATGCGTTTGATTTCATTGCGCTTCACTGCGCACGTATAGAACACTGCCGCACTACTTCAGCTTGACCACCAACATGACTAATATCAACACAACAGACGTGATGGAAATGCTGATAAAACATTTATTTAAACTCGAAAAAATACAATTTTATGCCCCCCCCCTCCCCCACCCCCATACACACACAATTATGAGGGAACCTCACGATCATATTACCTTCTATTATAAAAATATTCAAACTCAATTACAATACACAGCCCCAAACATAAACAAAACAATATCTAACATATAAATCAGAAAGCCTTGTAAAAATACACCCCTATCTGTACAAAATATGCAGCAAAACAGGAGTAAACATTTACCTACCAGTCAAATCCCGATGAGTCGAATCTCTGGGGACCAAGTAATAAATTCGTCTTATCGATGTATTCGAGACATAGGTATGTCTATGAGGGTAGAAAAAAGATGCTCCAGTCCTAATTCCTCCGCCTAAGCATTTGTTTTTCTAATGATTTCCGTATCACTAATAGGGGCACCTTATCAGTTCCAGTCTGATTAGCACAGACAGTGATTTCCGTAAAATCACTAATCTGTCTTTTTGAACTCACCCGTCAATGGTGGAAAGGTGTGAGCCGCGCTGGTTTGTTAATTTGATCAGTTTGCCACACCAATCAACTTCTCATTGACTGACTTCGGCTTATGTATACAAGATTGCTGTTGTTTGAATCTCATGGGACCAAATTTCCTTCTCGAGTCATCGTGTGTATTTATGAGACGAATTCGTGTAACCGGTATTCAAATGATGACAACTATAACAGGGAATGGTCGGGACCGACAGGTACTTCGAGTTATGCATAATATTCGAGACATCGGCATTCGACTCATCGGGATTTGACTGTATTTAATTCCGTTTAGAATGGGAAATTTGCAAGATAGATCTAACGGTCTGGCGAAACACCACATTTATGCCACTCATAGTCATACTCCATCATATCCCGTTGCAAAATAATTCTGCTGTCTGCCAGCTTCCCCGCAAGGTTGTCACTGTTATGTTCATCTACTTTGAAAAACTCTTGGACACAGTCCAGTCACAAACGATGAAAACAAAGTTCCAAGGAATCACAAGTTAGTCGCATGTACACTAAGCAGCAACACTGTCACTCTTTTGTCGCATGCCGGGGTTGAGGCAGTACGTGAAATCATAATCGGCCGGTCATAAAAATCAACAGTCTTTGATGAGTTACAGGTCGTAGGTTGATCAGGAAAGGATCTATTCTTCGATTCTGCAGGGTTCAGGTTCGACAGTCAGTCAAGTATTGTCCACTGTCACTTCAAATTTCAACCTTTCGCAAAATGTAAATACTGGCTCGGCCACCATTTCAAACTGTTGCGTAACTGTCTACTTCGAAGAAGATAAGTAGGTCAGACGATTCCATTATAGTGTGGCCAGGGGGGTACAGTTTCACGGCACACAAAACAATAGGCTGGTTTCAGTCGTGTGGAGTTGGGATGAAAAAAACCCCAAGATCTCGGGTATTACATAATTGCATTGAATAAACAGTAGTTTGATTTCTTTGGACAGAATATTGTTATGTTGTAATGTTAAAAAAATACGAACGGCACCTACCGCTCCCTTCACAGACGAGTTCAATTCGCCTCTCGTCCCATGACGGATTACGCAGTGTCTTCCGCAGAGCGAGGAAGTTCGATTTTAAATGTGTCATGGTAGAATGGAGATAACCCTAGTGTGTTTGAAAACAGAGACATAGCTTTATTGATTGATGGCGACTAAATATTTCAATTGAAACCTCACGCTACGCGTTCGGTTCCAATTGAAATTTAGTCGCCATCAATTCAGTAAAGCATGTCTGTGAATTTCAAACACACTAGGTTTATCTCCTAAATATATCAGAACAAATGGGAAGGAACAATTGCATGGTTTTCTTTTTATAAAAGTAGAATAAAAGTTTGTTTGAATGATCATTTAGCATAGCAAGAGGTAGCACGTATTTGGTGAGGGGCCACAGAAATGATCCCAAAAGGTGTTTGTATATGTGTGTGTGGGTGGGGAAAGGGCTTGAGTTCTCATATCTTCCTCCTCTTTGTAGTAAATGACCAGTCCTTTATTGTCTCTTCAGATGGTGATACATGTTATATCATAAGTTGTTCACTGGTCACGAGGGGGACATGGGTTGATGTACCTTCTGTGTTTGTTGATGTATTTATTTTACCGAACACCTCAATGTTAATTTTGAACTGTTTGAAACACGGTTATGTTATCATAATACGGAGTACCAGAGTTAGGCAATTAGCCAATACCGACAACGACAGACAAGAAAAACAAATTCAGAGTTATCTCCCTTCCATCGGTTTGCTTTCGTAAAACATCAGTAATTTCCGATCCAATTATTCGAGACAAAGAATATTACTAACACGAAGTATCAAATGAATTCCCACAGTTCGGCATTCCCAGACTATAAAGCTTGTAAGCGGGGTACATTGAAAATAATAGAAGAGCGCTTAGCCAATCAGGAAACGACATTTATGTGTGAGGTAAGATAATACTATTTACGACACTGGTGGACTTTTAGTAGTCTTAGATTGTCAATAACGCGTCTTTACAGACGTCCAACGACAGCCTAATAATGGAGATACGGGAAAAGATCGAGGCTTCTGAAGAGATAGACAAGGACGTCCACAATCACAATCCCGCGGTGCACATGGAAAAGGTTATGACAGAAAACTATGCCTTCCTGCACGACATCACTGAATTAGAAATGTTTGTGAAAATCTCATGTGACGTGTATATACTGAAGGATAAAATTGTACCCCTAGACCACAGTCTCCTACTGCCACAAGATTCTCCACTTACAGACATGTTCGCAAAAGAGTAAGTAGAGTGTACATGTATTTAATGTCTTCTCTGAATTGTTGTTTATATATTTTTGTAATTTCCATGCATATATACATGGATCTGGGGCCTGAAAACATGGTAGATCATTTCATAGAGGTCGTTTTGTAGCGAAACTTTGTCATGGACCAGGAGAATCATAATGGGAACACGTTGGGGTAACTGAATGGTCAAAGCATTCTCTCGACAGGCCTAAAGTACATTCAGTGTGTTAAATTCATTACTTGTGTCCTCGATCTGATATTGCTGTAACACATCTAAATTATATATTATAAAATACGGTTCTTTCTGATACCAGAATCACCAGGGTGCAGGAAATTGGCTTGATGGAGTACTGGCTGAGGAAATGGAAACCCACTCAGAATAACAGTACATGCCCTTCCCTTGAGAAGGGGGCGAAACCTGTAGGCCTGGAGAGGTTGGCGGCTGCGCTGCTTGCCCTCGGGGCTGGGATACTGTGTTCGGGTGTGTGCCTTCTCGTTGAGCTGGTCGTCAAGGCATCAACGTAACTCCTTTGTGACAAAGAGTTTCCAAAACGAAGGACAATCGGCGCCTTAATATGGGAAAGACGTATCTCTACGGCTTCATCGCATTCTGACCTAAACCAAAAGATCTAATCAAAGTTCGGGCGTGTGTCTTCTCGTTGAGCTGTTGGTTAAGGTAACTCCCGTGAGACACTGATTTTCCAAACCAATGGACAATCGGCGTCTTTGTAAGGTTAACGCTCAGCTCTGTGGTTCCATCGCATTCTGACCTTTACCACAAGATGTAATCAATTTTCGGGTATGTGTCTTCTCGTTGAGCTGGTGGTCAAGGCATCAACGTAATTCCTGTGAGAGTTTACGAAACAAAGAAGAATCGATGCGCCTTAGTATGGGAACACCTTTCTCTGCGGTTTCATCACATTCTGACCTATACCACAAGATCTAATCAGTGTGAATGGTTGATGTGAATCCATGTTTATTTCATGGATATGGAGTGATTTTAAAGTGTAATGGTAACTCAGGTGTAAATGATGCTCAAGTGGGATCAATGTACCCGTCAATACGAGTCCGACATAACGGAATATGCTTTGTGTCAAGTGTTAATGATTATATCATCCATGTCAGCAACGAAAGAGGACATTGTGTCCTGTTATGTGCTGGGTATTCATTTAAGGTAGAAAATAGGGCCCGTAAGTAGATCACGGCACTTTGCGAGCCCATTTCTGGTGTCCCCCGCCGTGATATTGCTGGAATACTGCTAAAAGCGGCTTAAATGTACACCCACTCACCCAGCCCAATCCACTGAAATCTACATTTGAAAATACCCTTTAAAGACAATTCCCTTTTCACAAAGCCATGTTAATAAGTCCATCTCTGAGATAAAACAAATGTATGTAAACATACATTATACGTTATACTGCATCCAATCTCGTTAGGTGCGAAATTGACCGAGGTGGAAACTCGTGACTTAACCCGTGAAGATCCGGGTTAGAATTAGTCTTCAGCAACCGACGCTTGTCGTAAGAGGCTACTAACGGGATCGGATTGGTCATCATAGAAGATTTTCATGGGTTTAATGCAGCATTATCACAACTGAGCATTTACCTTGGCACTGGACGAGATTTTCAACATTTTCTTTGCGGTTAGAAATGAAGAGATATAAAATGAAACATACGTAAAATGAAACATACGGAAAATTTGAAACAATTTTCAAGTGGTCGACCAGGTCGATGACAGCGTGTGTGAACGTAAGCCTCTCGTTTATTTCATGCCTCTTTACTAGCGGTAGAAACTGAAACAAGCGATAATATTCCGTAGGTCGATGGTGTTGATCACTAGATTATCTGGTCCAGATTCGATTATTTACAGACTGCTGTCATATAGCTGGATCATTGATGGGTTTTGCGTTAAAAAACAAGCAAACAAAACAAAACTTTAAAAAGTCTAATGGGATGTTAAATACATGTATAACTCTTTTAGAATTCTGCAGGCATATATCTGTAAACATTATCAACATTCGACCATTTAGTATGCTCTCTGTTATGTATGTCAGCTTCAGTAACGGATATCATAGAATTTAACTAAGTACTGAAACGTTTACAGTGAGGGAATCACACTTCTCACATAATCTGTCTTCCCGTGGATTTCTGTTCCAGTGGATATTGTGATGTGTTCTAAAATGTGAAATTAGAAATTCTATAGTTATTGGTAGGTATTTTAAAACCCCAGTGGTTTATTTCTATGTCAATAATACTCTCCCTTGGCACAGTTCATTACACAGCGTCTCGAGTTTTGATAAAACATGTTCTGTTGAAGTAAGCCATTAGCACTGAAATTCCAGGTTGAATCCATCTAAAATTCCTTGAAGTCCTGAGCACTCGTCAGTTTGTCATTATTTTTTATTGTAGAGGAAGTTTTAACGATTGCTCCATGTAAACTTAATTGTTTTGCGTATTTGCATATATTTGTAAGCGCCTTAAGGTGCATTTGCATTCCAGAACCAGCATTCTCGGTTTGCCTGTGGAAGGTTTTCAATAAACGAACCTGTTTAGTGTGACAGGACATGTCCATTGTCAAAAATCTCAATTGGAAACAAGTTCTATTGTTTGAATGCACTGCCTTTGTAACTTTATTATAATTAAAAGATGAGAAGAAACTTAAGTTTCACTTTCAATGGATTGTCTGATGAAGACTTGACGATCTGCAGACCGCTGCCATGTAGCTGGTTAATTCTGAGTGCTGCGTTAAGCTCACTGCCCGTGTGCGTCTCTTCATGCTGATCCGCTTAGTCACTGTTAAACATTTCAAGGTTATGTTTTCAATATTGTTGTATATGTACAGGATGCTCAGTACAGTCTACCCTTACATGCCATTCAGTGGCATTTAACCATGCGGGGCATTTAGTAAAGACAACCCAACAGGGCATTTAGTGAAATCTAATCGTACAGGGAATTCAGTACAATTTCAACCAGCAGAGCATTCACCGGAATGTAACCTCAGACAGTACTTAGTAACGTCACCCCTACCAGGCAATAAGTACAGTGTGACTCTGTACGAAATGAGTTCCAATACTTGGTTCTCGAGATTCAGAATTATCCATATGGGAAACTGTTAACATATTTGTACATGAGAATAAGCAGGCACTTGCCCCAGTTGAGCAGATTGGAAGTGCAGTAAAATCTCTAAAATACGAATGCTTAAAATTTTCTTGAAGCAATATTACATGCGCCATTGGAGCTACAACATTCACAATATAATTTTGCCTGATCTTCATCCAGTTCAGGTAGGAATTCCTATGAAAGTGACTTTCATTCTTATTACCTCGAGAATTTCATATCTCTTAGCTGTGACACTAACGCGGTCACTATTTATGAAGATATTTTACTTGATACATATACATTTGGATCTTGACGTTTCACCAGCCTTGCATTATCCACAACCCCAGTTTTGTCAGAGGTAACACTGGCGAATTCACTGATAATACTTCCTGATTCTGTAGAACAGAACTGTTTCTACTTGGTATGCAAGCAGTTATATTTGAACAATTCACCAGCCCAGCATCCTCCACGTCATAATCACAAAAGATTCTCTGAAGAAGATCGTTGAGTTAACTAAGATTGTAATCGTTAAATGTTACATTGGCCTGTAACATTACTTTGTGTTGCCAAGACTGGGGATGGAGTACTTCTTTCACAATGTGATTCCCACCAACTGAATGTGCAAAATCACACTGATCATGACTGACATGGCTTTGACTATTTCACCAAGTATATAAAGTATTTGTCACTGTTCATTCGCCCACAGTTCTTATGACACGTGAGTTAGCAAAGCCAATATTAGACATATCACTTTTTAAAGTGTGAATCACACTCTCATGTTCTTGTAGTTGTGAAAAATCTTATTCACACCAGCATGAACAGATGGACATTTTGTGTGTAGCAAAAAACATTAGAAGGTGGTCTGTTATGCGATGTCACGTTTAAAACACATATTTCTTGTGCAAATTGTCAGTGGAAGTTGAACCGGTGGGGCAGAACACGTTTCCTTTTCCCTTTCACATATTTTGCCTCACATGGAATGCCATGCCACAAGACGTCTTGCGACGTTTGATTTGCTCTATGGGGCACAGGTGTCAAGCATACATCAATGCTCATGGTGGACATACACGTTATTGACTGTGTGAATTTAATTTTGACCGTTCTGTCACTGAGACCTCATTAGCATGTGTCCACCAGAAAAGTTAGGGGGTGCCATAACATTATGACTGTTTTAAAATTGAGTGTATGTGTGATATGAAGCGCTCTATGGACCTGCCTGGAAAGTGGTCAAACATGGTTGAGGAACCGTTGGGATGAACAGGTTTCCTGATTAATGAAATATTGAAATCAGTTCGAATTCTGTCCTTGTGATTATTGCTTTACGGGGTGATTTCCGAACCGAAACACCAAGGTAGACACCAAGGACATCAGTAGATAACCACACACAATCAATGAATTATATCGAAACACAAAGCATTAGGTTCAAAATCACAAAGGCGGCACAATGTGTGAAATACAGGGTACGTGGCAGTTACAATTAACACATCCCTGTGAGTGTTCTAGTTCTCGCAGTTATCCCAGAGTATGTTAATTGCAGTCACTTCAGGATGTGACCATTGCGATCTTTACTCGGCTTCAGTCCAACATCGAAGGGAAAGTAGGTCATTCTGGTGACACTGGTAGTCATTTTGGACGGTATTTTCTTTGGAGGGCAAGGACAAACTTTATGGATGAACAACGTCTTTATTCAGATGATGCGACGTTTCGATACAGATTCTTGGTACCAGCTTGACAATGATTCAAGAATCTGTATCGAAACGTCGCATCACCTGAACAATGTTGTGCACCCATAAAGTTTATCCTTATCTGACTCTCCAACTTCTAAAACACCCACTCAAAGAAGTCTTTGGAGGGATGAACAGGCAGACACGATGAGCATCTAAAACAAGAGAACCTTTAATTTCTTTGGGTGCCATTTAGAAGTTGATGTGAATTTGGGGAGAATTCTATGGATATACAACTTTTCAGTATACATGTGAAAAAGAAGTCGTATATCCATGGAACTACCCCCATTGTTCCAAAGACCGGTTATATACGTAAATGTGCAGATCACAAGTTTTTTTTCCAAATGAATGTCACAGACAGGTTCGTCAGCGAATTGTAAGGGTGTTGGTTGTCCAGTCTGGAGTTGATCTTTGAAGAGATGAAACCTTTGCCCGTTTCAGAAAGCATGCGCATCGCTAAGGTAATCGTAACTCTGATACTTTAACATAGACTTACGATTGTCGCAGTGTCACCAGGTCTTACCCATTTGGGATTTTATCTCTGCCCTTTTTGGCACCTGATAACAACATTTGCCACTTTCATACAATTGCAAAGGCATACACTGAAATTGCATACACTCATGATAAATGTTATGCTATAAATAGCCAATTTACTGATTATTTATTTATACTTCATAAGTTTTATTCAAACATTATAATATAA